GGAGCAGTGAGGACACTTGTGTGGCTTGACAATCGCCGTGTGGAGCTTGGAGTGGATCCTGCCGAAGAGGAGGAGGAGCAGCAGCAGTTGGACACGACCGCCATCTGGCTAGTGCTGATGGAATGAGTGCACAAAGGGGGTGGGACAGCACCACGCTATCTGCTACATGGAGGAACTCCAAACACGGCATGAGCTTGCTCAGTCTCGAACCGTGCTCCCCTTGGATTCAAGAGACCATGGTCTGTCTGCACCGGGGGAGGATCCAGAGAGAGGAACTACAGAGCTTAGACTGAGGGGCATTGGCAGAGCTGTGTGTGGGAAGCCTACAGCTGAAATAGCAGGGGGGCTGCAAGCCTGGACTGAAACGTTTGGCAGAACTATGCTGGGGTGACAGGGAACAGTCGCCTACGCCCACTCTACTCTCACTCTGACATAAGCAGCCCTACCTTCTGTCTGAAAGCGTCAATACATTGCAGACACCCCTTAGGGTGAGCAGCGCTAACCTCTGTGCGCACCCAGCCCCTCACAGCAAGTGACAAGTCTCACGTGTTGGATACCACTACTGCCAGTTTGTCATGTACGAGACCTGATCAGCCTGCAGAAAACAGCAAGGTCTCCCCAGGCAGTCGCCCACCAAGGGTGCTCACAGCATGCTGGGATGATGGCAACATGCAGTGCAGAGAGCCCCCAGCCTCCTCTGGCCCTTACCGTGTGTGCTGCTGCAGGTGGGAGAGCTGGCGGAAGGCCTTCTGGCAGTAGCTGCACGTGTAGGGCTTGGCCCCTGAGTGGATGCGAATGTGCTGGGCCAGGTAGGAGCTGTTGGCGAAGCTCTTGGAGCAGTGAGGACACTTGTGTGGCTTTGTCTCCGTGTGGGACTTGGAGTGGATCTGCATCTCCGACTTGGAGTAGAAGGTCAGCGAACACATCCGGCACCTGGGACCGTGGTGAGGGGAAGAGACAGTGTCACACAGGGGCAAGCCCCAATATATATCAACTCTAACTGGATGGGGTCCTCCACACTGAGTGAAGAACGGATGTTCTCTGGCTATGTGGTTCTGGGGAGGTTTCACCCGAGACACTGTGCTTGGCTGCGAGTACTCTAGTCCCAGGGGGACCAACTTAAGCTAGGAACTGTCAGAAGAACCAAACAAGACCTTGCAGCCAGACAAGTAAAGCTCTTGGAAGAATCAAAGAGGTTAATTTGTTAGGCTTACAAGTGAGACAGGGCAGCACTTTGCAGATTTTCTAACAGCAATCTGAAGGGGACAGGAATAAGAATTCCCAGACAAAACCACTTTGTTAATCTAAAATTTATTTCAGTCAAAAAAAGTTTGTAAAACCTGGAGATTCTTAGATTAAGGTTCATCTTCATAATAGAAGTTCATTCCATGTACTGCAAAGTCCGCAAAAGCAGTTATGACCAAACCCACTTAACTCTGCTCCCATTTTTGGAGAAGACACTCATGGATTTCGAATACAAAATGCTGAAAATAACAACAGTGCTGCTTTCCTAGTGGGTCTCACAAAGATATCAAATGTAATATTTCACTGTTCTAACAGGCTTTCACCATTTCTACCTTACTGATGTGATACAAAATGTTTTGTCTGGGCATTTGGACCCATCTGTTCCCATAATGATCAGAAATGTATTTGGTAACACACAGACTCTGAACAGGAAGAAGCAGTTGGCATCTATCTGCTTTGGGTGCTACTGTTAAAAACTGTTCCTCCGTGACACCAGGCTGTTAAGAGAAGCTTTCGCTTTCACTGTTACACAATTAAAGATGGTAAAAGCTTTTGTGGTTGATAATTTGACAGAGAGATAGAGGCTGCATCCAAGTTACTGGACTTTTTTTTATTTTTTTTAAATGTGTGCCAACAAAGGGGCAGAGTTAAGGTTTCTCTGAACTTAGTTTTTCCATTTGTAGACTTTTCAATTAAACAAGACAAAAATTGAACCTGCACTTGGGACTTCCAGGGTCACATCTAAGAGAAAAAATACCACCCAGAAGAAGACTGGCTAACATGAATTCAACCTTCACAGCACGTTGACTTCATGTTTTTGTCTGGGAATTTTCTTAAGTTTTACGAGTGTTTACAAAACTGCTCAGTGACAATAATCTCTGCAGTTATTAGAAGCCACAGAGAGTTGATGCTGCTCCTCCCCATATCCATCTCCTCCCAGGAGGATACTTCATTCCATCTACTACTGTGACTATTGATGCTGGAGCTGGAAGCTTTATGAAGTGTGCAGTCTGACTACTGTATGTAATATAGGCAGTATTTATCCAGCACCTACTTTAACTTCCACGGGCTCTTCCAAGCTGCAGCTCCATTTTAAGCCATTTACCTGGAGGCAGTGCTTCCCTAGCAAGCACTCTACCACACACTTGCCATAACATTTTTTCCTCTTCATCATTGTTCTTTTACATTCATTGTCATCCTAACAGTTGTTCCCACATTTCCTACCTTTATCTTTCTCTTAATCCACCTTAATTGCAAACCCTAACAGAACACGCAAGATAAACACATCCTTACCTAAATCCCCCCTCACACAGACAACAATCCCTTCTGGAATCAACAAACAGAAGAAAATTGGCTGTTTATCCCTAGGTCTACTGGGGATATGAGGAGTAAAAAGGAACATCAGAATGATCTTTTTAAAAAAAGTAGCTCTTGGTTTATAAACCAAACTATCTCCAAACACTTGTGCAGTTTGTTCCAGACTTTCCAACATGTTTAAAGCTAGGCTTGAATACAAGATATGCATTTTGCAGTTATCAAGTTGCACTCACAGGATGAGGATTGTATGCTTGAAAGCAGCAACGCTAGAAAGAACTTTGAGGTGAATACTGAACTGAAAAAATACCTCTGAGTTGCCAAGTCCAGTTCTCTGCTAATGCAAGCAATTATGGCATAATCCCATGCATTACTTTTATCAAGCTCCTTCTCAGCAGATGCTTACTTCCATTACTCTCAGCTAAACTCTGTTTCACAATATCAGTCCTCTCATAAGGAACCATTCAACTGAGAAGAAGCTCCCAGTGCGATGCTGTGCTAATATGGCTAACCAAAACAAAAGGGAATAGCAGGTATCATTTTTGTAAACAGGAACAGTGTGACTACTCCTGCAACAGAATGTCTAATTCTGAAGTCCATGTGGTCAACAATTATTGTAAAACTCAGACAAGTTCAGCAAACTTAAAGAATGATGGCATGTGGAAAACTGGCTTCACAGCAAAGATTGACCGAGTCCAGACTATCTAGGTTTGGAGAAAAGCTTAAAAGATAGATTTATATGGGTATTGACCAAGCTATGTAGGGAGAAAAATATCGATTACTAGTGGCCTGTTTTATGGGCAAAGAAAGGTATAATAATAACTGGCAGTAGAAGTTAAAAAATCCAAGAGGAAATAAGATCTTTCCAACCATGAGAATAGCGCATCTTTGGAACAATGCCTGGAGGGCTATAACATGGTCTCAATCACTTGGCCCCTACAATCAGTATTTTGAGAATCCACCTACCTTTATGAAAGTAATAGCTTTCTAAAAGTTTTGCTCTAGTTTAAATACAATGCTGGGCATTAATCTCTCCTGTGCCATACACATGTCTATATTTTAAGCAGTCTATTTTGTTTTGAAAAATTCATGAACTTTACTGCGTCATCAAGTCTAAGTAGTCCCATGCATTAAATCTGTAGTGCCATAAAGCCATCTACTGTATTTTCCGTAACTTCTGTGCATCCTTTCCTTTACAGAATCACAGAATCACAGAATGTTAGAGATTGGAAGGGACCTCGAAAGATCATCCAGTCCAATCCCCCTGCCGGAGCAGGAACACCCAGATCAGATCCCACAGGAACGCATCCAGGCGGGCTTTGAATGTCTCCAGAGAAGGAGACTCCACACCCTCTCTGGGCAGCCTGTTCCAGTGCTCTGTCACCCTCACCGTGAAGAAGTTTTTTCTCATATTCAAGTGGAACCTCCTGTGTTCCAGCTTGAACCCATTGCCCCTTGTCCTGTCACTGGATGTCACAGAGAAGAGCCTGGCTCCATCCTCCTGACACTCACCCTTTACATATTTATAAACATTGATTAGGTCACCCCTCAGTCTCCTCTTTTCCAGGCAAAGCTTTTGCTTTGTCAAATTATCCGCCTTCAGGTCAGAAATACACTAGAATAAACTTTAATGAAGAGAAACAGACTGAACTGAACATCCTTTTCCATTTTCAAAATAAAATTATAAAGAAGGTATTTCAAAATCTCTCCAGCACTTTCATAAAAAGAAGGAAAATCTGACCAGGCAAAAATACCACCACCCCCCAAAAAACCCAAAACCCTCTTGTGTGAATTTAGCAGCTATAGATATTCCAGTATTGTTTTTCAAATAACATTTTAAAATAAAGTCTTGCGAAGACTCATTTTCCAATCATCTAATTGGCATCAGACTTGAGAGGGCAAGAATGTTATGTAGCATTAACAAATTAATGAGCCTTATGAGTTAAAAAGAGCCCTAGAATACAGCAGAAAGCTGCATTTCGGAGTTTTGTATTGTGTGGTATCAAGCATTTTCAATGGAACAAATAATCCATCTAATTAAGGGCTTTGCATTCTGCCTCAGACAACATCAAATATTAAAGGGGAAGATGCAATCAGCCCTCTAGTGGGCAAATATGGATTCAGAAAAATGTTAAATCTACATGGATAATGAGAACATTGTATCTGACACTATCAGCATTTCAGTACTCCAGTGACAGTCTTCTGGCTGGGGGCAGGAGAAGCTAGGAGTGCTCCTTGCTAAGCATGAACAAAACACTATATGAAATAATTTATTTTTTTTCACCTCTGTTTAATATGCATTTTTAATCTTTTCTCTCTACTGTGCTTCTAAACTACCACTACTTCCACTGTATTCTTTCTGAGAGCAAGTAACAGAAATGACTGCAGCGTTCTCACTGACAGTGTGATACATCCCTACAGTTGCTTGTTATGGTTCTGCAAATTTAGACAGCCTAGGAGAACATATTCTTAATAACACAGAGGTGTATCTGTCCATATAAACGGTTAATTTAGTACCCAGCCATATGCCAGAGATCAAAAGTAATCCCTTTCAATGTTTATAATACTTTCTTTTTATAGGGTATCTGTAGGAAAGTGAGACATTCAGAGAATGTTTGTGTTAGACAGAAACACCCTCAAAAATCATGAAATGCCAGTAAAAGGTGGATGTATAATTCTAATTCTGCTCTCACATGAAAGTCATCATGATGAGTCATAAACAAAATGATGCTTATAGCAATTATACTACAACTCTGGCACATAGTACCATTATTTTTTTCCACTTTTCATGGAATGTTCTGCCTCATTCATCAGATGCTGTTAGGAGATAAAATACCACCTGAACTACCAGCTCATAGTAAAATTTGCCTAACATGGATTAACAGCATTTTTCAATCAAGTGCTTAATTAATCAGTATCACAGTTGTGAAAACTATGCGAACTTTCACATGGCTTTGAGAATTCAAATTCCTAGTATCTACTGAGATTAGTCTTAGAAGCCCTTGCTCCTTCTGTTAGGCTACAAATACAAGTTAGACCACAAGTTTAAAAAAAAAATAAATCAAATCAGGAAGTTCTGAAGTTAAACTAGATTATAAGAGTATGTTTAGGCTGTCAGAGCCAGCAGTTCCTTTAGCAAGGAAAGAAATGTACTGCCTTCGCAATGCAGAGTTAATGAAGTAACTAATGCAAGCACTGCATAATAATGGATGCGTAGTTCATGATAAATGTTAATTTAATCCCAACATTCCCTGTTTGGTTGTTGGTTTTTTTTTTAAAGTTGAAGTTAAACATTTTCTTGCTAATATTTTGTAAAAGGCATGGGAAAGGAGACAGAACTAACATCCAAGATACACAGCTAGAAAACTTGGAGA